TATAAAATACTGTATTTAAATAGGAGGCTGACAACAATATAAAAAATAGGAAAATACTAGTTCTAGATAAACTATACTGAATTCCTTTGTGTCAAGATATGATCTCCAAAAAAAAGAAAAAATCATGATCATTCCTTTCTTATAAAAAGTATGATGAATATACTCTGAACAATTTAAAATGTTGACTTCCTACTATAATATTTCTGTCTCATCCCACAGAATTTTAGAATGTAATTCATAGAACAGTTCTTAAATGGCAGTTAATCTTAACTCCACAGGGATTACTCTGTATATGTACACTCTATGTACACAGCAGCTTCATACATGCAAAAAAATTTAATGCATGTAGTTTATGCATTTAAATGCATTTAAAGTCTTTAATTAGGAGTCTAATCTGAGCCTGCAAGGAAGACAATGTTGTTTTGCATTAACTATCTGAATATAACTCTCGTGGATAAATTAATTGCTAGCAATTTAAAAAGCTGTCAAAATTCAAACTGAATTTGTGATGGCTTTATTTTTTGGGTTTGGAACAGGAATAGATTCACAAAACTACTAGTGAAGAGATAACAACTGTTTCTCTTCTTCATCTTCCCATCTCCACCCACTCACCTCTACCCCCGCAAAGTTGAAGATCTCACCATATGTTTTTTAATGCAATAAATCCTATATATAGACTAGGTTTCAACCCCTTCCCCCGACTGAGATTTAAACCTTTATTTTCTACCTTCCGGGGGAATCAACTAACCACTGGATATCCTGCAGGGGTATGCTCTCACCTGAACTATATGAACTGCTACTTTGACCGAGCTGTGTGCCTCCCAAGTGAATTCTTTAACCACCAGACCAAAGAGTCATTCTCTCTCTTTGACTCAGTATTTAAATAATCCATGCAGAACAGCTTTTTCCATGGGGATCGAGAGAAGCCAATTATAGATTTCTCACTGGTTTAAGAACTCTTTTGGGAAAGTGAAAATGTGGGTTCAAGAATGTGCAGACAAGGTCTTGAACCTGATTGTCCCACATTGTATATCAGATGAGGCCCTAACCGCAGAGCTATTGAATAAGTGAAGAGAGGGGGGATTCTCTTTACTTCCATGAATGATTTACAAAGAGCGTGTAAGCCTAATCTTTCATTTCCAGTTCTTTAGTTTTCTGTTTAAATAGCTTCTGCAGAGTTGCCTATGTCTCTGGCAAGTATACAAATTAATGACTGGAGAAAAATGCTACTTTTGGGAACATAGAAGGATAATTCTTCCCCACATTTGTTATTTCTAAATATTTTCTGACTATTTCAGTCAGTTCCAAATCAAATCAAAATATGGTTTTCTTTGTCCCTGAATGTTGAAGTGACTTCAATTTTAGTTGAAGTGTAGAGACATTGTAGAAGTGGTGGAAGATGCCTGGGTTTTTTTCAATACCCTTTTTTTTAAAAAAAAAAAACCACCTGATAACTATTTACATCATACTTAAAGCCCTCTCTCAGATACTTCCATGTGTCCTAACGCTTCCCAGTTTAAGAACCTGTACTGAGCTGAACTAGCATACTTCTGTTAAGAAGTAGAACTTGCTGGCCACAAGTGCTTACTTCAATTCAGACACAAGGATCAATACAAAAGAAACACTGACCATCTACCTTTTACAGTGCCAATGGATGTAAGGAAAAGCCAGAACAAAGTATAGGCTTTTGGGTTTTTTTTAAATGGGTAAAAATCAAGATAGAAAAAACTTACCTGCAAAGGTCAGCTGTTGATCTCTTGCAGGAAAATGTCTCGGTAGTGGTGTACAGATGCAGAATAGGTTGTCAAATATTGCAAATCTCTACAGAGTCACACAGAAGGTTTGTTGGCACCAGTTGTGAAACCCAGAGTTCTGGAGTCCTAGTTTAGTGAATGATTTTCCCTTCCTTTAGAACTGTAATAAAGGACAAGAATGGTAACGTGCATTTCCTTACCTAGAAAGAACACTTGGTGTTAATCTTGATTTCCCAAGCTTTTACTTGACTTCAGTGGAGTAATGGTCAAGAACACAGTCTCCTTCATTTTCCAAGAGATATACACTAGAATGATTGTGACACAAGCCAAATAACCAAATCTAGTTCCCTAAACCTTTGTGCCTAGTTTTTTTCAGCTCTCCCTTTCAGAAGTTTACCCAGGAAAACAAAGAAATCCATTCCCTTTTTTATTACACGTATTCACAGAGATCCACCATGCATTTCATGGGGGAAGGGAATATTCTCTGTACATTAAGAAGGTGGTTATACCTTAGCAGGTGTTTAGGCAGCCCTACTGCCCTCACTTTAAATCAGGAGACAGTTTTGAAATAGATTTGTGTTTCTTGTGCTTTTTTATTAAATGCTGATAGGAAATGTACTTGAACTCAGAGTTGTTCATATGTGTCATTTCTCCCAAAGTAATGCATTTTTCTGGAAGACTTCTAACCAGAACACCAAAGATAGCAACATTCTTTCCAGAAGAGTCAGGTGTATTTGCTTATTCTTACTTTGTTGCTTTGTTGACCTTTTCGCAAAAATATATAGTGCATTGTTCAAGCAAAAGCTATTGCTAATAGAACATTCTGAATTCTATTTTTAATTAGTCCTCTTTCTTGATAATGCTGGATCTTCTTAGTCCAGAAAACTAAAACTAGTTTCCATTATGGAGAAGTTGGGATATTTCAGCCATTGTTTTATTTTTAAGACTGACTATTATTTCTGAACTACAGAAGTAAAAACAATCATAAAATATAAATAATTTCTGTTACATAATAAACAGTCTTTATTTCTTTCCTCTGACTGGCACATTCTTAGATTTAAACTGTGTGTTAAAAATTATAAGAAGAATTTTGATAATAATTCTTATGTGTGTTCTGTTTTGTATCTAAGAATCTTCTCTTCCTTTACGTATTTCACAAAATAAGAAAAAATTAATTTAGCAGTATTCAAAACAAGCGTCCAAGATACAAATCTTTAAAGTGGTTCTCCATTCATATAAAGCAGATGCAAGTATGAAGCTTTAGCACATGAACAAACTCTGCACTGCGTGCAGGGTTTGATGAAACCTGTAACCCGTGAGATGAGCATGGCAGGCAAACCTGGGTGTGTTTCTTCTGTCCTGTCCAGTCAGCAAAGTAGGTGAGCTAACTGGCAGCAGCAACCAGATGCAAGGTTAACAGAAACAAAGGAGGATATGGAGCTGGAGGCAGCATAAAGTCAATTTTTGCAGTGAGTTTAGTTGGTTTTTTTTTCACCCCCGCAAAATTTCTTTTAAAGCATCCCTCAGCCTTAGCTTGTGTCTCTCAAGATTTCCTGCAGTTAACTCCCACCTGGTACACAGTTTGTATTCTGTATCAAATCTGTGTCTTCCAACCTAAGTCATGCACTGGCATTGTTCAGGTAAAACTTTGCTCAATGACAATTGTCAGCTGAAATTGTTTTTTTCATCTTGTATCAGAAGACTAAAATTTATACTCAGGAACTTTAAAAAAAGCAAAAAACAAGCAACAAAAACAAAACAAAAAAAACCATAAAACTTTAAACAAACTTCACATTGAAACTCTTGAAAACATGAGAAGGTTCTCTGGCTTATTTTTCTCAAAACCAAGGCAAATCTCAAGAATGAAAAATGAAAATATGAAATAATAAATAATAGGGCTAAAGTATGCTTTTTCACAAAATATATGTGAAGCACATAGAAAATTATAATTATTTGTTCTTCATAATAAATTTTAAAAAATGTATTACTTGTCTTAGTATTAGTTGACCAGGTGCCTTTACTTTTTTGCTTTAGGGCCCGTGTTTTGGATGTGATGGAGCCTTATGTATTTCTCGAGTTTCATGGCGTTTAATAGATGAAGTTATTCTCCAATTAAATGAATGATATTTTCCAAAATGAGCTTCCAATCCCATAAATATGAAACAGTTGGAATAATAACACTCAGTGCTTGAGTTAGCTTTTCATTTATGGACTACTGAAGTATGTTGAAGTACATAGATCTTTATTTTCTGTGAAATTGTTTAGATTCAACAGAAGTTCACATTCACTTAAAGTCTTGCTCAAAAAGTAAATTATTTCGGTCTCAAGAAAGTGGGAGTATATAACAAATGCAACTTTAATGAAGTATTTCCAACTAGGCATTTAAAGTGGTTTATATAAGACAGACAAATAGTCATCCTTTCTAGAACTGATATACTGCTGTTAAAATCATTAATATGTTTATTTTGTACTTGCCCTTTTTCTTTTTGCTGTAAAAGTGGGGCAGAATCCACATTCACCTTGAGTGTAGAACTGAATCTTCCTATTACATATTCCCTGCCTGGATGTCACACAAGGGCCACTTAAGTCACATCAGCACCAGTCAGAGATGTTCAGAAACACTTCTGAGTGCTTTAATTGTTCATCAAGACCTAACCCTTTGAACATTGCTTTAAGGCATATTGGCTCTGCTCTTGAGTCACTGAAGCAAAATTGGAGCATCTGGATGCAGTGTCAAAATAGCCCAGGGAGCTCCAGTGCAGCACCCAAGTGGATAATCTCAACACAGAAGACAAACACTGCATTAGCGATTGCCGGAAGGCTACAGTTCATCTTCCTCTGAAATACAATACAAGAAAAGTTAAAGGATGATACTTTTTTCTTTGTATCTTCTGTTGTGTGAACAAAGAATCAAGCTGTGTTTTGATGTTTTATCAAGTGTTTGGCAGCATTTTCAATCTTTGTTTGCCCTACTAATCCACTGATTTTTCTTTTCTTTGGACAAAGCAATGAATGTTTTTTTACAGTTTATGCTGTATTGGATATGTTAGTGCTAAAGAATGAATCCAGTGATGTTGTTACCTTTGAATCAAAGTATTGAATCAAAGTAGAGAAAGAAGTATGATAATCTTTTAGTTGCCTATTAGTACTACAAAATCTAATTATACCCTCTTTACTTGTAGTTAATATTTTTATAATTCTGTTACCTATGTGAAATAATATTTTTTGCTTTGTTTGCTTTCACAGATGGCAGCAAAACCGCATTCTGTTGGTTGAAAAGAGCATTGTAAGTAACCATATTTTGTTTTTCCTGTTGAATTAGGCATCACATTTTATTTTTCTAAATCTAATAAAATTTTGTCTTATGGATAAAACTGACTTCTTCCTTGAAAACTGGTGAACAATTAATACTCTGTGAGAGCCTGTGAGACATCTGGCATGTGGCTACAGATACAATTCCCAAGCCAGATTTCTTTTGCCATCGGCAAGAATAGTTTATGTAAGGCTTAGGCCAGCAGGTCAAGAAATATAAATGCAGAAGCATGCTAAACATACCACCTGACATCAGGCTTTTCCTGGAACATGGTTGATCTGTAGAGTGCAGACCAGAATGAATACTGGAGTGCAAAACTGGGGCACAGCAGCATATACAATCTGTTTCCTGACTTCCTGTTTTTCTGACCATGCATCTAAGATTTTATTCATGTATGTGTAGAAGTGAATCTAAATACAATCAGAAGTAAAAGACTGATTTGATGATTTACTATTTTTATTTGATTCAGGTAATGCATTCAGATTGCATTTTATATATATGTGCATAGAAGAACATATATATATACAGTAAAATAATTTCTGCAATGATAATTAAAAAAATCTCTGCTAAGCATAGTGCTTCACACCACCATTCAAACTATTCACACTACTCTTCTAAATACATTAACAAAATATATTCCATTTGGAACATGTCAAGTAAATGGGTAACACTTTTTCTAGCATGTCTAGCTGCCATTAATTTAGTTAGTATTCATTGTAATTACACTCATCATAATGAATTCATTTAGTATTAATGTGAATATTATACAAGTTTTTAGACAATCCATTATAATTCAGCAATAATTAATGTACATATTAAATGAAGTGTTACTACTTAGTGCTATGATAAAGCCATGTTGTTTCATTTGAAAAGCTTTAGAGGAAGTTACGTTTAATCTCATTGGTATTCCTATTGTTGCCAGGAGATATTTTTCAATGGCAAAGGGCAATTCTTCTTGGGAGACTTGTTAACTTTTCAGTGAGATTCCATGTTTGCACTTGTCTACTGATTCACTTACAAGATACTGGCATTTGAAGCAAGATACTTAATGGACATGATAATGCAAAAAACTCATTGAACTATTCTAAAAGCATGAAAGATTTCTGACATTTCAGACAGTATCCAATAAAAGATGCCAGAGTTTGTAAGTCCTGTAGCACTTACATTTTATGATTCTTCTTCCCTTCTGTCCTCCAAGAGTAATCCAAAACTGAGAAGCAAGTATTTTAAATGTATCACACATCAACAGTATTAGGTGCCTCAAAGGCATCCATGCCTACTTTAGGCAGCTGCCTAAAAGTAATGACTAGGGGAAACATAGCAAAAGAAGAATGCCCATATTGGTTTAGGGTAAGAATTGTCTGGACAGCATCCTGTCTCTGGGCAGTCATTATAAATATATGCCCAGGGAAGGGTAAGGACTAGAAGTAGATTCCCCAGCCTCCAGCAGTTTTAGCTGATGAAATTTCATTGGGTGTATGTGGTTTCTAAAGATCAAAATTTTGTCATATTTTGGTTCCCTGAATATATTCCCACAAACCTATTTAGGTCTTAGAACAAGTATTAGTTGCATGGGTTTACTACCCTGTTCATTTAGTACATTAAGAACTTTTTGTTGTTGTTGTTTTGAATGTGATTTCTTCTATCTTAATTTGAATCTACATTGCATGGGATTTTATTGAGACAATCCATTCGTTTTATGGCACCAGTAATTTGTGAGCCTCATCTATATCCTTCTGTGGAGATGGTCTTTGCAAGAAAAGTATCATACTCTGTATAGAAGCTGTTCATCTTTCTTGCTCTGTTTTGGGTTTTGCATGCTACTCATCAATTTTCAAAGTGTGAGAAGTTATCAGGTTTATGCTATTTCAAAATCATTCCTTCAGCTTTTCCTTCTTAGTTTCTTACTGAATACCAATATTGAATGGTTATGCAGCTATAGGGTCATTTCTCCATGGTGACTGTAACTCCAGGCCCACTATGTTAAATTTCCCACCTTCCCTTACCCTCTCTTGTGTATCACTTTACATTTATTTGCAGGGCATTTATTCTGCCATTGTTTTTCCCTATCACTCAGGCTTGTGACTACAGGATTTCTGGAATTCTACACTGTATGTCCTTGTCCTGGCTAACCCAAATAACTCCAATCAGGAACATTTTTCAACCACCTTCATCCCTCTTGCCAAATTGTTTATGAATGTTGAACAGCACAGGCCCTACAAAAACTCTTTGAAAAAGTCCAGCAGCAATGTCTCACAATTTCAGGAACTGAATCTTTCCTCTCTACTACTTTCCTTTTAAAGTCTCAGTTATACATGCTTACCTTCTTACTTTTTATAATAGCCTTTGTTGAGAAACTCTAAGAAAAACCTTCTGCAAATCCAAGGCAGACTCCTACTGAGCAACTCCAGGCAACAAAATCACATTCATGTGTCTGTTGAATGAGAAATTGCTTCAGTAGGTCAACAAAGGAATAATTTCTTTTACAAAAGCCACCTTCACTTGTCCAAGATATAGCATATTTATGAAAGTCCAACTTCAAGTTTGTATTATAGTTTATACTGACTTGACCAATATGGACTTCAGTGTATTTAGGTCTGACAAAAGATACTTTTCTTTATATCTGCTTTTTAAATTTTACATTAATTCTTTTTTCACTGCAGTTACATTTTACAGCTCTCAGTACCTGTTCAATTCTATCATTGCAATAGATGTGAGAGATAGATGCATCCTCGCAAGTCAGTAAGATATATAATTTATTAATTTCTTGTAACTGTTGAGTGAATCTTTCTAATAATTTGTTACTATTCACTTTCTCATCACTTCCTTTCTCCAAGCTGATGTTCCCACTGAGAGTTATTAGGATACATTATTACACAGAAAGCAATCTTTACCTGTAGTTTTACAAAGTATGTCAATGTCATGCTAATTAATAAGAATTCAGGTTATCTATGAACTTCTGACTTTGTTTCTGCTGATATGTTTGACCTATGCATGTCTTTATTGTTCTCCTTCCTGTTGAATTTTACAGATCACACATTGGCTGGGCATTATTATTTATTATTTCACACTGAAAGGAAATGAATTTTGCAATAAAGTAGTGCATTGATGAAACACATGTTAATAGCTATGAAATAGTTGCCCCTATGAGAGAGAAAATTAGAAACTATTTGGAACCACCCTAGATCTTTAAAAAAAGTTTTTATTTTTTCAGAATAATAAAAATATTTTAAAAAATGGTTTTGTAAACTACCTTTTTTTCAATTGATGCATTAATAAGGAATTCAATCTCTTTAGTTAAAGTAGACCAGCACAGTCACTGCAAGCACTGCCGCTTGTTGAACTCAGCAGTTGTCACTTCTGAAGTGTTAATGAAATTTTTGTCCTCTTTTTGCATGGCAATCTTTTCTGTCTTTCCAGTGTTGAAGTATCATTCTCCATTTCTCAGGCAAAATCCGATCATCCAGTAGCTCTCTTCCTGCTTCTGTATAAAGGAGACTGCAGCATTAAACTTGAAGTAGTTCAAATCAGGTCTAATTATGCTCGGACATGTAATGTTTAACATGTTTAGGGCTTGGTTTACTCAAGTAAACCAGATAGGCCTGTTCTCAGTACTGCTTTTGCTATTGTTGTATACCTTCAAGGTTTCAGTGTCATCAAGCCCGTTTCTGTTTAGATATGACCTTAGACCTCCTCTGTGGAAGTCTACTAATTCTTTCTTACAGGCTAATAATACTTAGTTAAAAGTAGTTATGTCTACCTTGTCATTATTCCATAACATGCCATTAGAATTTTTTTTTATTAATTAATGATCCAAAGTATTTAGCTCCAGTTACTATTAGAGACTTATGGCCCTGTTTGCAGACATACTGAACTCTAGTGGTTGAAATGAAAGGGAGGTATTGACTCAAAATTGCTAACACATAAAACCAATGGTCAATGTTTTCTAAAATGTTTAAACCTTTCATTCTGCTTTTGCTAAATAGATGGTATGCTATTTAAAACACTATTTTGTCTTTTCCTGTAGGGATGAATTCTGTTTCTGACTATCTTGATAAGTGGCCAAAAAAATTTAAAAGTTTCAACGACAAAATTAACAGCATTTTAATTTTTTTTTTGTTGAAAAAATGCCAATCTTTAGGAACAATTTAATGTTTTGTATTTCACACATACTTTGGGGGCATTCTCTATGCGGTTTGTACTACTGCTTATTTGGTGGCGCAAATAGAAGTGCAAGCTATGCTCACTCCTACGTTTCTGGTATGGACTAGCTTTTCCTTTATCTGATGTGTTGATTTGTGTTTCTTCAGGCAATAATGCTTTCTTTTTTTATGAGATTGATAATGAGAAGGCTTTTCTTTTATCTAATGTGTTGATTTGTGTTTCTTCAGGCAATAATGCTTTCTTTTTTTTTTTTTTTAAGAGATACATGGAATTTGCTCATCTTGTTTCTATACGTTTGCAGATTTGATGTCACTCTGGTGTTTGTTCAATAGTGCATTTTTCAACTTTTGTGACCTTTTAAGGTCTTTGTTCGTATTCACAGTTTTTCTTTTCATGACTGATTCTGGTGTTTCCCTTTCTAAGTACCTCTTCATAGTCAACCTTTTAAGGTCTTTGTATTCACAGGTTTTTTTTCATGACTGATTCTGGTGTTTCCCTTTCTAAGTACCTCTTCATAGTGGCTGTTCTGGAGCTGTCCTTGGGGGAAATGGGATTAATTCAGTGGAGATTGGTCTCTCAGTGGTACATCTGGTTCTTCTTTTACAATAGAAAGATGGAGAAATGCCTTGCATGAATGCTCATGAAAAGTTTTCTCATGGAAATATATGAATTCAGCTCTTAATCCAAATAAAATATCTTTAAACAGTGGTAGTCTTGAATCAATTTAATTGAAAGGAATTTTAAGGAGTCAGGTTCTGACTGGGATCCCAGCAAGGAGGATCAGATTGCAAGTTCCATGTTGTGTGCCC